TTCCTCGGGGCACGCTTCTGGGGTGAGCAGTGGGGCTTCTCCTTGTGGCATCCTGTTAGATGGCGTGTAATCCTCACAAGACTCACTGGGGCTGGGTCCGTCAGCTTCTCCACTGTTAGGTTTGCATTTCTTCTTTGTAATTAATAGGACTCAGAAGTTATGTAAATGTTCCATTGCTGATTTATGAATTTAAGTTGATATGAAGTTAAGGAAGTTAAGGATTCCTGTTTCATTCTGTGAGTTAAAACCCATTGCTTTCATTATGGCTTAAAAAGGTCTCATTTGGCCAGTGAGAGACCCTCAACCTGGTGTCTGGGTCATCTTCTCACCTCCAGGCCATTGTTTGAGCCTTTCTTTACTCTTGGGCAGTACAGTGCTTTCTAGCTCATATGCTTCCCAAAGCTGGAGCCAGCCATACCTCCCAGGAGAGAAGTACTGCTCTCCACACACATGGATGTCTGCATTCATACCTGCATTGATCCACATATACTGCAAGCCATGGGTTCATACCAATGCTTTTAATTCTAGCCTAATACTGCAGAGATCATTCTAGTTTTTTTTTCTGTCCATATTTGTAACTTTCTCTAATATTGATAAACCTGGCTCCCATTGTCTTTACTTATTTTATCAATCTATGTGTGTGTTACCAAGCTGTGCTGCTATTCACCCTGCAGATGGGGGTGACACCTTCCCCTCAGCGCTGACATGCCCTGCTGGGCCTCTGCCATCCTCCATTGTCAGTTCCTCACTCCACTGGGGCCTAACACCCTAGAACGAAGAAGGGAGGAAGGGAAGAAAGAGGGAAGGAAATTACCACACTTCAAAGCATTATATGTTTTCATTTTTACAATCTGTAAACTCCATTCATGTGCACATTTATGTATTAAAATTCTCACCAAAGAAGTTAAATGCAAGCACAAGACCAAAGAGAGGAGGATGTGTGTTGTGCTCTAACAGCTAATGCTCAGACCATTGCATCCCTGTCATCTGCTGTGTGAGTCCCTGCGGAGGACGGGGAAGAGCCTGATTCTCAGCGCAGAGTTAAGACAGGAGGCTGCCCTGGGTATTATCTGCCTAAGGCTGGCCTCCAAGGCTGCAGCATTCATCCTGAGAGGCTTTGTTCCTGGCGTGCTGGGGGACTGACGGGTCCCCTCCTCTGTTGACCTACAGTGCTATTTCTAGTTCCGTTTATCCCATATTTTTGTGATGCTGTGATAACATCTTTTCACAACAATTTGTTTTCTTCTCTCTCCTGCTTCCCATGCTGGCTGTGGCAGGGAGAACAGGGGCACTTCTGTGGAACGTGTCTGTCCTGGCAGGAGGGAAGGCATCTGCTGGGAGCCTCCAGAAGCCGCACTGCAAGCAGCTGAGCTGAGATGAGCAGAGCAGAGCAGAGCAGAGCTTGTCAACCAGAGGAGGGAGGAAACAGTTCAAGGGAAAGGCTAAGTGAGCAGGCAGTGTTCCCTCTGCAACCGCCAGGCATGACAGAATGTCCTTGAGCACAGGAGAGAGAAATCACATTGCTGCACTAACATTTGTGCTTCAAAGAGCTCACGCGATGCTGTGCAAAGCTATAGCTATTTGCCCAGGTCCTGATAAAGTTCTGTGCCCATGGATGAGGACGGAATCTTGTATTCAGCATCCTACTTCCCCGGTGTCGTCTCACAGAGCAATCTTCACTCAGAGTTTCTATGGTGGATGTGATATTGCAGAGTGTTTGCTTTTCTCCCCTAAGGCTTACCATAGAAGGCCCCTTGAATAGGAGACAGAGGAAGCAGAAATGTGGCATGATGGGTGTTTAGTACATGGCACGTCTGCTGTGTGCACGCCATCTTATGTTGGTTTCACCCCAAATAAGATCCCAGTGAGGAGACACTGATTCCTTTGTGAGTCATTGGAGAATCTGCCACATGCCTGAGGTTCCACAGGTCCATGGCCAGGCAGACACTCAGACCTAGGCCTCCGGCCCCAGCCAGCTCTCCCTGACTGTCGCATCTTCCATAAACTGCTTGTTGAACCAAGGACAGACACAAAAGCAGGCACCAACACTGCCCAGTCCCCATCCTCTTGCCTTCATTATCTTACGAGGGTTTCTCTTGTGCTCTGCATGGGAGATATGCTGGGCCAAAATGAAACAGAGGAAATCCCAGATAAGCACAATGCAGCTAAGTTTTGTACTTCATAGAAAAACCACATGAATCAATAATATTCAAGGGCTATTTTAAAATTAATAATATTCAGTCCATTGCTGATGAGCAGTTGAGGATGCTGCTTACCTAGTGTCTGACAGCTGAGAAAGCCATTGAGAGTGGGGAGAAAGGAACTGGTGTCTTGCCCTGGAGTGTGGGTTAGGGGACAGAGTGGGGGTCCTCAGTGTAGAGGAACATTCAGAAAATTCCCGAATAAAAGTGGCTTTTATTCTACATGTTTTAGCTTAAGAAAGATATCCACCTTGATTCGAAGGTTGACTATGAGGAATGATTGGCAAAATGCAAGATGGATTAAATTAAGATATACTCAGAAAGCCAGTGTATTAGGATTCACTAGCCAGTAATAAAGACATTCAGGCAGATTTTCATCTAATCCAGGTGGTAAGAGAGCAAGAGAAGCACGAACAGGGCCCCATTTCATGAATTCACCACTATGTGGAAGTCAGCCCTGTGTCTGCTGAAGCCTGCTGCTCAGAGAGCTAAGCTGGCAGGAGGAATTGGTGGGGAGAGCGGGGCTGGGCAGGGAGGTGAGCTGGCATTGAGGAGTTGGTGGGGAGAGTGGGTTGGGCCTTCAGGATGGGTGGACGGTGGCAGCAATGACATCAGCGGGTAATGACCGGGGCATGCAGCAGCGGCGGGTGGAGATGGTGGGGTGGCAGTGCAACTTGTGAACAGGAGTGGGCAGCGTAGGAAAGGGGTACAAGGCCTCAAGGAATATGTTAAGGTGCAGGAAGTGGAGAAGGAAGAAGCATTGGCAAAACCTGCAGCAATTGCTTAGGGGCAGGGAACTGGTGGTCAGAGGACAGAGAGTGGGGAAAGAAGCCAGAGGACTCAGGCCTGAAAGCACGTGAGGCACGAAAAGGCAAACACAGCCCGGTGCCGGCGGGCATTTGTCCCTTGCGCTGCTGAATGGGAGGACAGAGTGTGACTGCAGGCTGCGGGGCTGCAGGGCCACGGGTGTTCTGCTGGGGATGATGGGAAGGCAGTGGGCCCGAAGAGATCCTGGGAGTCCTAGCTGGTTCCTGGATGGAAATTCCCTATATGTCCTAAAGGGAAAAGTGCAGGAGCTCTGGAGGGGTGAGTGCTCCACACATGGAGTTGTGCTCCGGAGGGGTGTGTGTTCCCACACACGGAGCTGTCCTCTGGAAGGCAGTGTGCTCCCACACATGGAGTTGTGCTCCGGAGGGGTGTGTGTTCCCACACACGGAGCTGTCCTCTGGAAGGCAGTGTGCTCCCACACATGGAGTTGTGTTCTGGACGAGTGTGTGCTCCATACACAGAGTTGTGCTGTGCTTCCACGGTGCGGGCAGCATGTGTGTGGGTGTGTAGTGGTATAACTCATGGCGTGGGAGATCTCCCAGGAGTGTGGTCCTCCTGCTGTTCCTGGCAACTCTTGCATTTCCCATTGAGTCTCACCTTTATTTCATTCATTGGCTCACTTGTTTATTCAGCAACTATTTGCAGAGTTCCTGCTCTGGGGGAGGAGCAGTGAGCCAGGGGTTGGGAATACCCAATGGGAGGAATGTGGTCCCTGCTGCTTCCTGCCTTTCAGAGAGGACACACGCCTCCCATGGCTCTCGAAGGGGATGCACACAGTGCCGTGAGCACAGGCGCTATGTGGAGCACAGGGAGACCCAGCACCACCCAGCTCCCCCATCCCTCTTCAGGTAGGCCTGGCACCACCCAGTCCCCCCATCCTTCTTCAGGTAAACCCAGCACCACCCAGCCCCTCCAGACCTGGCACAACCCAGCCCCCCATCCCTCTTCAGATACCCGGAACCACCCAGCCCCTCCATCCCTCTTCAGGGAGACCTAGTACCACCCAACCCCATCCCTCTTCAGGGAGACCCGGTACCACCCAGCTTCCACATCCCTCTTCAGGGAGACCTAGTACCACCCAGCTTCCACATCCCTCTTCAGGGAGACCTAGTACCACCCAGCTTCCACATCCCTCTTCAGGGAGACCTAGTACCACCCAGCTTCCACATCCCTCTTCAGGGAGACCTAGTACCACCCAACCCCATCCCTCTTCAGGGAGACCTAGTACCACCCAGCTTCCACATCCCTCTTCAGGGAGACTTAGTACTACCCAGCCCCCCATCCCTCTTCAGGGAGACCTAGTACCACCCAGTTCCCCATCCCTCTTCAGGGAGACCTAGTATCACCCAGCCCCCCATCCCTCTTCAGGGAGACCTAGTATCACCCAGTCCCCCATCCCTCTTCAGGGAGACCTAGTATCACCCAGTCCCCCATCCCTCTTCAGACAGACCCAGAACCACCCAGCCCCTCCATCCCTCTTCAGGTAAGCCCGGTACCACCCAGCTTCCCCATCCCTCTTCAGGGAGACCCGGAACCACCCAGCCCCTCCATCCCTCTTCAGGGAGACCCGGTACCACCCAGCTTCCACATCCCTCTTCAGGGAGACCTAGTACCACCCAGCTTCCGTATCCCTCTTCTCTCTGCTTCTCCATTCTATTTCATTTCTTGACCAGAGAATCTCCCCCTCCCACTGTCTCTGCGTGGTTTCCAGAATGGAAAAAACGTAAATATCTCTATACAACCCCCCACCCCTGCTGCCCCAAATAATCTCAGGAGGTCAAGACCCCTGGATCTCCTTGCACCTCTGCTGTGGATTCCACGCAAGGCTTCGCAGAAGCCATGTGAGTGTGCAGGAGACATGGAGCCCGTTTGCGCCTCCATGGAAACCCAGCTCGCTTGGGCTGTGCCGGAGGCTGTGCCCCTCTCTGTTGGCTGCAGTCAAGGCTGTGAGCAAAAGGAGGGAGGCTGAAAGCCGGTAAAGTAGAATTGTATTTATAGTGATACAAAGCCATGTGCCACTCTTTCTACTCAGTGGTGGGAATGACAGCATAAGAGTTTAATGCCTACATCCAGTTAGGATCAGGCTGGAATTTGGGTGTTTGGTTCCCCATGTTTTAACTCACATTCCTTTAATTGGGTCATAGTCCTGCCCTTGCTGTCATTTTTGCCAGCTGCATGGTTCCCTCTGAGCTGCAGAATCAGGTACATCAGAAGACCCAGGTGATGCTGGTGTTTACCTTCTTAGTTGGGAATTAGTTGGCAGTGGCTGCATGACTCTGATATTCATTTCAAATATAATCTGCAAGGAGCAAGGAAGAGACTGCAAGCAACACACCTTTTTCACTCTCAAATTACATCCCAGCTGAGACCGCTGCCTGGAATTTTCTCAGCATCCTTCCTGCCCCTCAGCAGGACATGCTGAGCTGTTCTGAGCCAATTTCACCTGTGTTAGGAGCCGTGGAGGGAAGTTAGGCAGAGCAGCAGCTTGACTAGCTCATTTGCCTCAGGTGACTCCTGCTGCCTTTCTCCTCTTCTCATGCGGCAGTGGCCAGCCAGCCCCTGCTGTCAGCACTTCTGAGCTAAGATCTCTCTGACTCCACAGGAACTGGCAGTGGGAATCCAAAAGTCACCATGGTGACGAGTCACTTAGGAGTGTGCTGTTTCCTGATCCTGCAGCAGCCATGGGGGTAGGCTGGGCAGGTGTGCTTCTACCCACTTTAAAGGCCACCCAAAGCTGCCCACTGGCCAGTGTTCCTCCAGTGTGGGCCTCGGCCCGCAGCACTGGCGTCCTCTGGGAGCTGTTTAGAAATGCACATGTGGGCCCTGTGCAGTCCTGCTGCTCAGAGTCTGCATGTTCACAGGGCCCAGGAGGCTGCTGCACGTAGTGAAGTGTGAGGAGCCGGGTTGGGGTGGCCCACCCCATGCACAGAGCCAGGAAGTGCCATGGCCTGCACTACTCCACAAGACCTTCTGATAGAAAGTCCAGGCTTTCCCTCCTCTACGCCGACTCCCACCACAGTCTTATGGAGATCTAATATGAGGAACTAACTCCATTCACAGCTAAGGGGCTGAACCAAAGCAGTGGGGGCAGCAGTGGGGGATGGATGAGATCCTGTCTGGAAAATGGGACAGCATTAGGGAGGAGTGAGTCTATGCAAGGAAGGCTTAGAAATGTGCCCACACATGTCAGGGTCTCAAAGGCTCCGCAGTGGTCACTCCCTGAGAAGCCCCGGCCAGGTGAGAGGTGCCAGGGCACAGGTCAGGAAGCAGCTGAACCCCTGGCTGCTAGCCAAGCTCCGGTTCTCATCCACTGTGCCTTGGTCACACTCTTCTATCTGGATTCTACTGGTGTTCACATTCCTTTTGGACGTGGTGGAGTTCCAGTTCGGATCTGGCTGCCCATCATTGTGGTGGGAAGAGAGCTGCTGAACAGCAGGCGAGACCCCTTTGCTGAGGGGCGTTGCTGCACTGTTGTGGCAAGGCCTGAACAGGAGGAGGAGACAAGGGTCAGACAAGGGTCAGAGTGCTAATGTCCCTTGGAGGGCAAGCTGGGGTGGGCCAAGAAAGGGGCCAGGGCAGAGCTTGAGGAATCTGCTGAAGGAATGGCCTGTTCAGGCTGACTCAGGTCGGCCCAGAACTCCCTTCACCACCCCAGGTCCTTTGAGATACAGAGGAGGCAAATGAGAGAGCAGCTTTGCAGCCTGCAAGAGGTCTCCTGGACCAGGCTTATCTAATTTCAGATCTAGGCTCCCGTTCACAGCCCTGCATGTCTCCATGCTGGTTAGGATGATGCTAGCCCTGTGATAAACACATCCCATCACTTCACTAGCTTCATGCACTGGAAGTTTATTTCTTACTCATGTCCCTTTTTCAGCAGTACCCCACATAATGAATCAGGACCCGAGGCTCGTCAGTGCTCTGTGGGGTGACTCAGGGTGCAAGGCTCCTCGGGTCCAGTGGCTCTGTCATCTCCCTTTCACCTTATTGCTGGGCTTCATCTTTTTTTGTGCCATGAACCCCTTCCAGTGGCCTGATGAATGGTCTCAGAATAAGATTTTTTTAACACATAAAAGAAAGAACATAGGATAGCAAGGAATAGGATATGAAAATGTGTTTTGTACTGCCAGCAAAACACCAGTCCTGCTGAAGCGACTGTGCTTTTTTTGCCTACACTCATAACTCACGGAACTACTAAATATGAGGTAGAGGTTAGTAAAAATAAAGATGTAATTGTTTTCCCATTGGAGGTCACAGGCCCCTGAATCTAACCCTGGGTTTAGAGGTCTAGCCAAGAGTCAGGGAGAAGAGTGTGGAGAAGGCACAGCCGCTTCCTAGTGCCTGTGCTGGGAAGGACACTGGTTCCTCCATGCCCCACTGGCCAGCACCACTGACAGAGCCACATCTATGGGTGGGCAGTGAGAAAAGAAAAACTTCAGCTGAATTAAATTTAAAGGCATGTACTTGAGCACTGAACAATTTGCGAATCAGGCAGCCTTCTAAACCAGAGTAGACTCAGAGATTCCAGCGCAGCCGCATGATGGAAGAACTACCCTGTGTTCACCCAGCATTCTCCCCTCGATGCGATCCCGCGGCACTTTCCCCAGTGTGTATTTACCCGGCGTTCTCCACCCTGTGTGATCGCCCAGCGTTCTCCCGCGTGTGCGTTCACCTGGCGTTCTCCTTTGTGGGTTCACATGGTTTTCTCCTCACTGTGCTTTCCCTAGGCGTTCTCTCCCCTGTGCGTTTCCACGGGGGTCTCTTCAGGCTGTGAGTTCCCTTGGCATTCTTCCTCCTGTGTGCGTTCACCAGGGGTTCTCCTTTCTTTGTGCGTTCACATGGCATTCTCCACCCGCGGCCTTCTCCCCTCTGTGCCTTCACCAGGCGTTCTCCCTTCTGTGTGCTCCTGCGGCCTTCTCCCCTGTGTGTTCACGTGGCGTTCTCTCCCCCGTGCGTTCACACCGCATTCTCTTTACTGTGTACGTTCTCCTAGCATCTCCCGCACCCCCACCGTGTGCGTTCACGTGGCGTTCTCCTTTCTTTCTGCATTGGCGTGGCATTCTCCCCACTGTGCGTTCCTGCAGCGTTCGTCCCTCTTGCGCTCACTTGGCCTTCTCTCCCTTGTGAGTTCACCCGTCGTTCTCCCTACTCTGTGTTCGCGCGGCGTTATTTCCCGTGTGTGCGTTCACGGGGCGTTCTCCATCCTATGCTTTCACCAGGTGTTCTCCCCGCCCCGCTTGCGTTCAAGCGGCGTTATCCCCGCTGTGTTTGCGCGGCATTATTTCCCATGTGTGTTAGGGCGGCGTTCTCCCTCTCGTGCGTACACCAGGCGTTCTCCTCGCTGAGGGTTGCGCAGCGTTCTCCACCCTGTGCGTTCGCGCGGCCTTCTCCCCCGTGTGTTCACCGGCCGTTCTTCTTTGTGCGTTCACCAGGCGTTCTTCCACCTGTGCATTCGTGCGGCGTTCTCCCCCCAGTGTATTCACGCGGCATTTTCTCCCGTGTGTGCTCACCTGGCGTTCATCTCCCTGTGTGCGTTCACTCTGCCTTCTTCCCCCTGTGTGTTTTTGCAGCGTTCTCCACCCCAGTGCGTTCACACGACGTTCTCACCCTGTGCGTTCACATGCATACTCCCCTCTGTATGTGTTTACCCGGCGTCCTCCCCCGCGTGTGTTCATCCAGGGTTCTCCCCTCTGTGTGTTGACACGGCGTTCCCCGTCCCCTCCCCCGTGCCTTCACGCGGCCCTGTGCGTTTACACAGCATTCTCCACCCTTTGGTATCACCAGGCGTTCTCCCTTCATGCGTTCACCAGGTGTTCTCCTCGCTGAGCGTTCGCGCGGCGTTCTCCCGCGTGTGTTCGTGTGGTTGTATTTCCCTTGGGTGTTGACGCAGCGTTCTCCGCCTGTTGACCCGGCGTTCTCCTCCGTGCGTTCGAGCGGCATTCTTTCCCCCGCCCCCGCCCCCCCCCCCCCCCCCCCCCCCCCCCCCCCCCCCCCCCCCCCCCCCCCCCCCCCGCGCATTCACCAGGCTTTCTCCCAGCTGTGTGTTCACCCAGCTTTCTCCCCACTGTGCGTTCGCGCGGAGTTCTCCCCCTTGTGTGTTAGCGCGGGGTTACTTCCCCGTCTCCCCGTGGTGCGGGTTCTGGCCGCTGGGCGTTCACTCTCCGCTGTTGCCGGTTTCTCCCTGGCGTTCTCCCCTCTGTGCGTTACTTTGGGTTCTTCCCCCTGGGCGGTCACCCCACGTTCTCCTTTCTTTGGGCGTTCACAGGGCGTTCTCCCCTCCCGTTCATTCGCGTGGCCTCTCCCTCTTGAGCGTTCACCTGGCTTTCTTCCCTCTGTGTGTTCACCTGGCGTTCTCCTCCCTGTGTGTTCTCCTGGCGTTCTCCCCCGCCCCCTTCCGTGTGTTCACATGGCTTTCTCTCTCCTGTGTTCCCACGGCGTTCTCTTTACTCTGTGCGTTCCCCTAGCGCCCTCCGACCTATGTGCGTTTACGCCGCGTTCGCCCGTCTGTGCGTTCGCGCAGCGTTCTCTGCCGTGTGTTCTCAGAGCGTTTCCCCCACCGTGTGCGTTGACGCGGCGTTATCCCCCCCGGTGAGTTCAAGCGGCGTTCTCCCCACTGTGCGTTCACTCAGCTTTCTCTTCTCTGTGCTTTCCCCCGGCGGTCTCCTCTCTGTGCGTTCAACCGGTGTTCTCCCCACTGTGCGTTCCCCCGGCATTCTCCCCACTGTGTGTGTGTTCAGCCGGCGTTCTACTTTCTTTGTGCGTTCACATGGCGTTCTCCCACCTGGGCGTTCGTGCGGGTTCTCCCCTCTGTGAGTTCACTTTGCCTTCTCCCTTGCCCGTTCAGCCGGCGTCCTCCATTCTCTGTGCGTTCACCAGTTCTCCACCCTGTGCGTTCGAGGGGTGTTCTGCCCTGCATGTGTTCACCCAGCGTTCTCTTCCGTGTGTGTTCTCCCGGCATTCCCTCCCTCCCACCTCCATTTGTTTTGTATCTCCTGTGGGTTCCCATGGCTTCTTTTTACTTTGTGCGTTCCCCTGGTGTTCTCCGCCCTGTGTGCGTTCATGCCGCGTTCTCCGCTCTGTGCGTTCGCGTGTCATTCTACCCCCTGGGCATTCGCGCAGCGTTCTTCCCCGTGTGCGTTGATGCGGCGTTATCCCCCGGGTGCGTTCACTCGATGTTTTTCCCCACTGTGCGTTCGCCTTTCGTTCTTCTCTCAGTGTGTTCACACGAAGAACACACGTTCGCCCCACTGTGCGTTCACAAGGCGTTCTCCCCACTGTGTGTTCACCCCCTTGTGCGTTCATGTGGCATTCTCCCCCAAGTGCGTTCGCGCGACGTTTCCCCATCTGTGTGTTCAGCTGGCGTTCTCCCAAGTGTGTGCGTTGATGCGGCGTTATCATCCCTGTGTGGTCACGCGGCGTTTTCCCCAGTGTGTTTACCCGGTGTTCTCTACCCTGTGCGATCGAGAGGGGTTCTGCCCCGTGTGTGTTCACCAAGCGTTCGCCCTTCTGTGTGTTCCTGTGGCGTTCTCTCCCATGTGCGTTCACCATGGGTTCTCCCCTCTGAGCATTCGCGTGGCGTTCTCCCTCTTGTGTGTTAACGTGGAGTTCTCCCCGTTGTGAGTTCACTCGGCATTCTTCCCACCTGTGCGTTCACCCGGCGTTCTCCCCTCTGTGTGTTCACACGGAGTTCTCCTCACTGTGTGTTCCCACGGCGTTCTTCCCCGTGTGTGCGTGGACACAGCGTTATCCCCCCTGTGCGATTGCACCGCATTCTCCCCTGTGCATCCCCATGGCCTTCTCTTTACTGTGTGATTTCCTCTGGCACTCCTCTTCCTGTGTGGGTTTACCTGGCATTCTTTTTTGTGTGTGTGTGCGCTCAATTGGCGTTCCCCCCCCCCCCCCGTGCATTCACTGGCGTCCTCACCTTCCCTCGTGCGTACACCAGGTGTTCTCCCCTCTGCGTTCACCAAGGGTTCGCCCTTCTGTGTGTTCCTGTCCCATTCGCGGGCAGCTTTCTCCCCGCTGTGTGCTTACACCCGGCGTTCTCCCCCGTGTGTGTTCACCAGGCATTCTCCTCCCTTTGTGTTCCCACATAGTTCTCCCCTCTAAGTGTTTACCTGGCGTTCTCCCCCTTGTGTGTTCACTTGGTGTTCTTCCCTCTGTGCGTTCCCCAGGCGCTCGCTTTTCTGTGCGTTTCCGCTGCGTTCTCTCTGGTGTGTTCACGTGGTGTTCTCTCATTTGCATTCACACGGCGTTCTCCTTACTGTGTGCATTCCTCTGGAGTTCTCCCCTGTGTGCGTTCACCCGGTGTTTTCCGCTGTTCGTTCACTTGGTGTTCTCTCCCCTGTGGGTTTCAGAGGTGACAATGTGCTAGCAGCCCTCACTCTCAGCGCCTCCTGGGCCTTGGGCGGCGCTTGAGGAGCCCTTCAGCCTGCCACAGCACCGTGGGAGCCCCTCTCTGGACTGACTGAGGCCGGAGCCGCCTCCGTCCGCTTGCGGGTAGGTGTGGAGGGAGAGGCGCAGGCGGAACCGGGGCTGTGCGCGGCGCTCGCGGGCCAGTGCGAGTTCCGCAGGTGCGGGCGTGGGCTCGGAGGGCCCAGCACACTGAGCGGCCGGCGGGCGCCGCTGGCCCAGGGCGGTGAGAGGCTTAGCACCCTGGCCAGCAGCTGCGGAGGTTGCGCGGGGTCCCCCAGCACTGCCGGCGCTGTGCTCAAATTCTCGGGGAGCCTCAGCTGCCTCCTGGCGGGGCAGGGCTCAGGAGCTGCAACCCGCCATGCCCAAGCCCCCGCCTCCGCCGTGGGCTCCGGGGCGGCCCAAGCCTCCTCGACGGGCGCCGGCCCCCTGCTCCTATCGACCGCCCAAGGGCTGACGAGTGCAGGTGCGGCTGGGGACTGGCAGGCAGCTCCACATGCAGCTCCAGTGCGGGATCCACTGGGTGAGGCCAGCTGGGTTCCTGAGTCTAGTAGGGACTTGGGGAACTTTTATGTCTAGCTAAGGGATCGTAGAGGCGCCAATCAGCGCTCTGTGTCTAGCTCAGGGTTTGTAAATACACCCATCAGTACTCTGTGTCTAGCTCAAGATTTGTAAATACACCAATTGGTACTCTGTATCTAGCTAACATACTGGGGACTTGGAGAACTTGTCTAGCACTGTGTCTAGCTCAAGGATTGTAAACACACCAATCAGCACGCTGTCAAAACGGACCAATCAGCTCTCTGTAAAATGGACCAATCAGCAGGATGTGGGTGGGGTCAGATAAGGGAATAAAAGCAGGCTGCTGGCGCCAGCAGCGGCAACGGGCTTGCCTTCTCCTTACCCACCTTGGAAGCTTTGTTCTTTTGCTCTATGGGTCCGCGCTGCCTTTGAGAGCTGTAGTATTCACCATGAAGTTCTGCGGCTTTGCTCGTGACAGTGTAGACCTTGCACCCACACAGAAGCAAGAAGCTGCAGACGTATCTGAACGTTTGAAGGAATAAACTCCGGACACACACCGTCTTTTAAGAACTGTAACGCTCACCGTAAGGGTCCGTGGTTTCATTCTTGAGGTCAGTGAGACGAAGAACCTACCAATTCTGGACACAGGTTCATATGGCCTTTTCCCCCTGCGAGTTTGCCTGACATTCTCTTCCTGTGTGTTCACACGGCATTCTCCTCGTGTGTTCATATGCCGTTATTTCCCCCGTGTGTTGGTGCGGGTTCACCGGCGTTCTCCCCTAACCCGTAGGTTCACCAGGTGTTCTCCTGTTTGCATTCCCGTGGCTTTCTCCCCGCTGTGTGCGTTCACCCGGTGTTTCTCCCTACCGTGTTTCCCCAGGCATTCTTCTCCCTTTGTGTTCACAAACTTCTCCCCTTTGTGTGTTCACTGGGCGTTCTCCTCCCTGTGTGATCTCCCGATGTTCTTCCCCCAGCCCCCACCCTCGTGTGACGTTCTCCCACCTGTGTACCTGTGTGCTCGCTCTGTGTTAATTCCAGTGTGTGTTAGTGCGGCGTTTTCTCCCTGCCTGTTCACCTGGCGTTATCCCTCCTGTGCATTCACCAGGCGTTCTCCCCGCTGAGCGTTCGCACGCTATTTCCGTCCTGTGCTTTCACCCGGCGTCCTGTATCCTGTGCGTTAGCGGGGTGTTCTCGAACCACGTGTGTGTTCCACCTGCATTCTCCCTTCTCTGTGTTCGTAGGGCATCTCCCCCGTGCGTTCACCCGGCGTTCTCCAACTCCGTGCATTCAGCAGGTGTTCTCCCCCTTTGTGTTCAGGCGGAGCTCTCCCTCTGAGTGTTCCCGTTGCATTCTCTCTCCTGTGCGTTCCTACTGCATTCTATTTATTTTGCCTTTCCCTGGCTTTCTCCCCCACGTGTGTGCGTTCACGCGGTGTTCTCCCTTTGTGCCTTCACATGGCATTCTCCCCATTGTGCGTTCCTGTGGCATTCTCTCTGTGCACTCACTGGAGGTTCTCTCCTGTGTGTGAACGCTGTGTGTTCTCCCCCGTCTGTGCGTTCACCAGGCTTTCTCCCCAGTCTGTGCTTTCACCCAGCGATCTCCCCGGTGTGTGCGTTCACCTTGCATTCTCCCCTCTGGGCGTTCACTTCTCTGTGTGTTCACCCTGCGTTCTCCCCTCTGTGCGTTCACTTGGCGTTCTTTCTTCTGAGTGCATTCACCCTGGGTGTTCTCCCCACTGTATGTTCCACCGCTATTCTCCCCGCTGTGCATTCATCAGGCGTTCTCCCTGTTCTATGCGTTCACCCAGCTCTGCGTTCTCCCGACTGTGTGCGTTCACTTCCCTGCGCCACCTAGCCTTCTCCCCCTGTGTGCATTCACTTCCTTCTATGCGTTCACCCGGAGTTTTCCAACCTGTGTGCATTCACCTGGCATTCTCCCCACTGTATGACCGCCCTTCTCCCGCGCTGTGCGCGTTCCCCGGGCGTTCTCCCGCGCTGTGCGCGTTCACGTCTCTGCGTCCACCGTGCGTTCTCCCCCACTCTGCGTTCAGCTGGGGTTCTCCCCACAGTGTCCATCCACCCGGTGTTCTCCCTGCTCTGTGCGTTCACCCATGTGTGCACGTTCACCGGGAGTTCTCTTCGCTCTGGGCGTTCAGCCCTGTGTGCGTTCCCCCGGCGTTCTCCTCGCTGTGTGCGTGCCCCCCGCCCCGGCGTTCTCCCCGCTGTGTGCGTGCCCCCCGCCCCGGCGTTATCCCCGCTGTGTGCGTGCCCCCCCCCCGGCGTTCTCCCCGCTGTGTGCGTGCCCCCCCACCGCGTTCTCCCCGCTGTGTGCGTGCCCCCCCCCGCGTTCTCCCCGCTGTGTGCGTGCCCCCCCCCCCGGCGTTCTCCCCGCTGTGTGCGTGCCCCCCCCGGCGTTCTCCCCGCTGTGTGCGTGCCCCCCCCGGCGTTCTCCCCGCTGTGTGCGTGCCCCCCCGGCGTTCTCCCTGCTGTGTGCTTGCCCCCCTCCCGCGTTCTCCCCGCTCTGTGCTTGCCCCCCGGCGTTCTCTGCGCTGTGTGCTTTCACCTGGCGTTCTCCCCCGTCTGCGCGTTCACCTGGCGATCTCCCTGCTTTGGGCGTTCTCCCAGTGTGCGTTCACCCAGCGTTCTCCTGAGTCCGTTCACCCTTGTGTGTGCGTTGACGCGGCATTCTCCCCACTCTGCGTTCACCCGGCGTTCTCCTCGCTCTATGCGTTCACCCGTGTGTGCGCTCACCCGGCGTTCTCCCCACCTGGGTGCGCTCACCCGGCGTTCTCCCCACCTGGGTGCGCTCACCCGGCGTTCTCCCCACCTGGGTGCGCTCACCCGGCGTTCTCCCCACCTGGGTGCGTTCACCCGGCGTTCTCCCCACCTGGGTGCGTTCACCCGGCGTTCTCCCCACCTGGGTGCGTTCACAGCAGTGTGCGGATTTCCCAGGCGTTCACCCAGCATTCTCCCCTCTCTGCGTTCGCCAGGCCTTCTCTCTGCCTTCACCCAGGGTTCTCCCCTGTGTGTGCGTTCACACACCGTTCTCCTCACTTTGTGCCTTCACCCCACTGTGTGCGTTCACCTGGCATTCACCACCCCCCGTGTGGGTTCACCCGGCGCTCTCCGTTGTGTGCGTTCCCCCGGTCTTCTCTCCTGTGTGCGCGTTCATCCCACTGTGTGTGGTTACCTGGCGTTCTCTCCTCTGTGCATTCACCCAGTATTCTTTGTATGCGTTCCTCAGGCGTTCTCTCCTCTGTGCGCGTTTACCTGGTGTTCTCCTCCCCCCCATTGTGTGTGTTCTTCCGGTGCTCTCTGCTTTGTGAGTTCACCCGGCGTTTTCCCCATTGTGAGCGTTCACCCGGCGTTCTCCCCTCTGTTCCTTCACGTTGCTGTGTGTGTTCCCTCGGCGTTCTCCCCTCTCTATGCGTTCCCCACCCCCCGTGCCTTCCCCCAGCGTTCTCCCCTCTCTGTGCGTTCCCCCGGCGTTCTCCCCTCTTTGCACGTTCCCCCGGCGTTCTCCCCTCTCTACGCGTTCACCCGGCGTTCTCCCCGCTGTGTGCGTTCACCCGGCGTTCTCCCCACTGTGTGCGTTCACCTGGCGTTCTCAACTCTGGGCATTCTCCCTCTGAGCGTTCACCCGGCGTTCTTCTCTCTGTAAGTTCACCTGTCGTTCCACCGGCGTTCCCCCGACTGTGCATGGTCACCTGGCGTTCTCCCCTCTGTGTGCCTTCCTCAGGCGTTCTCCCCTCTATGCGTTCACCCAGCGTTCTTACCCCTGTGTGGGTTCACCCGGCGTTCTTACCCTCTGTGGGTTCACCTGGCGTTCTCCCCTCTGTGTGAGTTCACCCGGCATTCTCTCCTCTGTGTGCGCATTCCTCCAGTGTTCTCCTCTCTGCGTGTTCGTTCACCTGGCGTTCTCCTCCCTGTGTGTTCGTATTTCTCTGTGCTCATTAAGATACCAATCATTGGCCTAGGGCTCACCCATGTACAGTATTCCTTTATCTTGCTACATCTGAAAGATCTTATTTCCAAATAAGGTAACATGTACAGGTTCTGCGTGGTCCTGAGTTTGGGTGTGAGAGCACTTTTAATGCCAGTGTTTCTTTCCTGTCTGTTTGGGGGTGTCTGAGTGCTCACACATTTTATCTCCTACCAGTGAGCCTCAGATGCCCAAGGCTTTAAAAAGACAGAGGCATATTGCCCTAATGATGCTTCAACTCTGCTTCAATTGCCCATTTTTTTCTCTCCAAGCAGAGGCCATCCTTCTAGAAGTAAATGAGCGATAGTGATGCAAATAGAATAATATTGTTGATGTTGTGTTTTCTTATACAGCACATAGGCCTTCAGCAGACACTATTTCTTTTGCAGTTGCAAGATTTAGTAGAGTGAAAACAGAGCTGCCATATAAAAGGAGGGGACCCAAAAAGAGGGTAGCTGTTGCCTGCTTGAATGCCTGGGTTTATATCCCGATCATTGTCCCTCCTGTGCCCTCAGGCAATAGATGATTGGATATTTCTTTACCTCCTGTTTTTGCCTAATTAGCATTTTAGTGAGCTCTCCTTACTGTCCGATTGGTCGGGTGTGAGCTAAGTTGCAAGCCCCATGTTTAAAGGTGGAAGCGGTCATCTTCCCAGCTAGGCTTTGGGGTTCTTAGTTGGCCCAGGAAATCCAGCTAGTCCTGTCTCTCAGGCCCCCCTCTCAACAAGAAAACCCAAGTGCTGCTGGGGAGTTTGGCTGACTGCCACTCTAACTGCTTCCTGCCAAATTGGGGCGTAGTAGGGGTTGTGCAGTTGAGATTTCCTTGGCAGGGGTGCTTTCGATGTCGTTAACATCAGAGCATGGGCTAGCAGGCTGGTCCAGGGGTCCACAGTAGATGTTAGTCATGGGCTGCATCTAGGGTTCCATTTGAAGAACTATTTGTAGTTTTACAGCTTTGATTCTGGAAGAGACAAACTTAAAAAAGAGATTAAAGATACAGGGATTGAAATGTATGGCCTGAAGTGCAGGGGATTATTTCTTTGGCAGTTTACAGGCCCTGCTTGATAGTTTTGAAAAGGCCTGGTCCAGTAAATAATGATTTGGCCATCTGATGGGTGTTATCAATGCGTAAGTGAAAGGTTTGGTGAAGGGTTTTAAGTAATTTCACTGGTTAGCTGCAGGTAAAAGTATTTTTCCTTCTTCGGTGGCTAGCCATCCTGAGGTGAGGAAACTATGTCCTCATGAGGCTCCCCATTCTGTTTCTTCTGAGTACTCGGGCTTGGTTTCCCGGAGGGGATTACCCCATACTAGGAGTCCTTCTGTAAGTGTTTCTAATGGAGGGTCCTGCCTTGTGGCTCTTTTGGCTTTTAATATCTGCTTGGTGGTTCCCTTCTATTTCCTTTCCCTTTCTTTTCTGACTCCGGCAGTGTGAGACTGCCGCCTCTAGGTTTCTGTACAGCCAATAATAATCTCCTAATGGATTCCTGATGTTTTATAGGCGTTCCCTCGGAAGTTAGGAATTCCTTTTCTCACCATATTGTTGCAGGGGCATGGAGGACTAAGTAAGCATACTTTGAGGCTATATATATTTACCCTTTTTCCTTCTCCCAATTCTAGTGCCTGAGTGAGGGCTATTAATTCTGCCAGCTGAGCACTAGTTCCTGGAGTTGAGGGGATTACTTTCAAGTATTCCGTTATCACTGACCACTGCATACCCCGCTTTTCGAAGTCCTTTTTCTACAAAGGAACTTCCATCAGTATACAAGTTGAGGTCGAGATCAGTCAAGGGAACCTCTAAAGGGTCCCGTAGAGCAGCATAGGTTTGAGGAATTACCTGTTGACGGTTATGTTCTATCTTTTCTTCATTGTCTGGAAGCAATGTGGCTGGGTTAAGAGTTGCACAAGTGTGCAGTTGCAGCACTGGCCCTTCAAGTAATAGAGCCTGATACTTAAGTAAATGGTTGTCTGACAGCCACAAGTCTCCTTTAGCAATGAGTAGGCCATTCACGTCATGAGATGTCCACACAGTAAGGTCTCTTCCCTGTAGTATTTAACTGCTTCATATACTAAGACTGCTACTGCCGCCACTACCCATAAACAATGAGGCCAACCCTTTGCCACTACATCAATTTCCTTACTCGGGTATGCCATGGGTTGCAAGCTGGTCCCTCAGACCTGTGTAAGGACTCCTAGTGTTATTACTGTTTTTTCTGTGACGTATAAAAAAAATCTTGCCCTGTTGGCAAGCTTAACACTGAGGCTTGGGTTAGGGCCTTCTTTAGGGCCTAGAAAGCCGCTTCTGTTCAGGTGTCCATCTTACTAAATGGGTATTGGCTGAGTTTCCTTAGTGTATGTAATGGTCTGGCTATTTCGCCGTACCTGGGAATCCACATTTGGCAGAAACCTGTTATGCCAAGGAATCCTCTTTCTTTAGGGTTTTGGGATGAGGATAAGCCAGTATAAGCTGGATATGTTCCTCACTGAGGACCCTGGTGCCTTTGGATAATTTTAGCCCTAAGTATTTAACCTGCTGTGAGCAGAGCTGAGCCTTTGGTTTGGAAACCTTGTAGCCACAGGTAGCGAGGAAATTTAAGAGTGCTTGGGTGACTTGATGACACAAGGTTTCTGAATAGGCGGCTAAAAGTAAATCATCCACGTACTGAAGAACAAGAGTGTCCAGGTATGAGAATTGGCTCAAGTCCTTGGGCTAATGCCTGGCCAAATAGATGGGAGCTATCCCCGAACCCTTAGGATAAAACAGTCCAGGTGAGTTGAGAGGTTGGATTCGAAGGATCTTCACAGACAAGAATTGAGAGTCAGGATGTACAGGGATGCAGAAAAAAAAAATCCTTAAAGTCCGGGACTGTAAACCACTCTGCTTCCTCTGGTGTTTGGGAAAGCAGAGTATAAGGGTTGGGTACAGCTGGATATAGAGGGACAATGGCCTCATTGATAATCCTGAGATCTTGCACT